AAACTCCACATCCATAATCCCAAGCATCCTTAAGGAAAAATGACCACACAACCACCAAACATGATGTTACAACATCATTTGGGACATTAGCTTCTCATCACAAAACCCAATCACCTTGGTTCTTAAAAAAACACCATATAAAGGACTCATTATGCAAAGACGTCCTTCAAGAAGCACGGAAAAAACAAAGCCACTACAGTTTAATCAGGTTATCACAAACACTTGAACACCATGGAGAGAAATAAACTCTTACACACTTTCTGAAGCAAAGAGTTCAAAAGGAAAATTTGCATCTACACATCAGATAAGTACCCAACTCCCGACAAGGTCTTTACCATCAGTCACATGCACATCTTCATTAGATCAGACTTATACCCAACTCTCGACAAGGTATTTGTCATCAGAGAAAAACTTCCTCACATATAAACAACATATGATGCTCTCTTTCCACAACTGTTAGGACATTTGATATGGCATCCTTCTTCTTCACACTCCTAGTACAAGAGAATGACAATCACGATAAACATCCATACCACATATATCTCCAGACTTGGTCAGAGACTGGACTTCACACTCCATCATGGCCAAACATTCCATTTTTGGAATCCAATGGTGATCAACAATACTCATACCATGATGTTTAAAACAAGCTTCGTTGACTGAAGAAGCAAATAACTGAAATGATGTTCTAACATCAGTTCAGACATAAGCCTAGAACACATGGGCATTATGTCTGATATTTCTTCAAGGTCTTCCAACTTCAGAGAAACAATGACTTCCCCTCAACAACTACTAAGAACACCATGAGAATCAAAGCAACACAACATGTGGTTAGTGCATACCACTATTACTCTGCTCACATAGAATCTGTTTCATGGTCACAAACAAGATTCCATAATTCTGGATCCTTTGATCAAAAGGATCCTTCAGATGTCAGAGAGACTGTCCTTGCCAACTGAGATTGACCTCCATATGTAAAAGACCTACATGAGATATTTTTAAAAATTCTCTACTAGAAAATAGAGCTTAGCCTCTACACTTCTACTTACTTGGATCAGAAATAAACTAATCCAAGAAGTAACAAAATATTGATTATCTCTTGATGAATACACTTATCTAAGACATGTTTCTAGAGTAAAAACTTCTCAAACACGCAATCCAGATGCTTCCTCTTCTAAATCAGGAGTAGGTTCTAAACATATGTGGCCAACACACATCTGTTTAGCACCCAAAGCATCTAATACGCCATACTTCTGATGTGATGTTCCATCATCCAGTAGAGACACCTTCCTGATGAACACACCAAGAGAACCTTTATCAAAGACCAGAGATTTTCCTTTTAGGATTGGAAGCAAAAATAAATAGCTTCTAACTTTCTCCAGGTCTCTTTTCAACAAACTCATATAAAAGTGCCTTTATGAGTGAACTTGAGATAAACCTCAAGTATCTTTGGCAACTTTACCAAGCTAGTTGAACCTATCCTCCAAGTATTACCACACCATGGGATACACCTCCAGATAAGAACAAATGGATACAACCTCAACACAGAAACTCACAACACTGCCAGGAGTTTTCCACCAGATACATATGCAGCGGAACACAAACCAGAAAATTCCTCAACAACCTTCAGGCAAAACTTAATAACCCTTGCACAAACACACCACACATAGGTGCAACAGGTCAACATTAGTTTGAAAATAAATCAAACCACAACGCAACTCACCACCAAAGCTACACGTTTGACAACATCAATCATGACCAATACACACCCTGTCACGAATAGTAGGAGTGTGCAAAATATTCGATTGTAAGGGCCAAATCCATAACCAAATCCAAATCCATTTTAAATATCTGGATATAATTAAATGATTATTAACAGGTTTAATTATTAATGGTTTGGTTATACATCCATATAATCTAGATATAATTAAATGGTTATTAACCAGTTAAATTATTTTTGAATTCGATTATAATCCGGTTATTATCTAAAATTCAAATATTTTAATTTTTAAATATTTTTTTTAAAATTTTTGAAAAATATATTTTATTTTGGAAAAATATTTAATTTTTTTCAAATTTTTTTTTCACAAACAATAAAAAAAGTTCCAATTTTTTTAAAAACCAATTAACAACTTCTGGTATTTTGTTATTATCTACTTCTTTCATATTTAAGTATAGTTTATTCAGCTAAAAGATAAAACACATATTTTTATGTAATTAGTCTCAAAATATTAGAATCAACGTCTATTATAAAAGAAGTAGAAAAAATAAATTAACAATAAACTCAAATAAACACAAATAGTAATAATTTTATTGATCAAAATGACGACATTTATCTGTACATAGTGAAAGAAACGAGAACAATTATTACTAAAATGAATTAACAACTTCTGATAATTACTTCTTTTATATTCAAATACTTCTTTTTGAATAAATAGTTTCCAGATTTTTTTTAATATTTTTTATTTTGAAAAAAAATGTTACCAACAAAAAGTTTGAAATTTTTAAAATTTTTTTTTTAAATTTCAGAATTTTTTTTTCCAAAAATATATTTTTTTAAAAAGAAATTGAAAAAAATTATTAAAATTTTTTTTTATAATTTTTTTTAAAACTGGATTTTTCATTTTAAAAATCAGTTATATAATCATAACCAAATTTATAATCAATTTTGATTAAAATGTAGTTATGATTATAAATCCAAACCATTTAAATGGTTTGAAAATGGTTATGGGTTGATTTTAAAAAATAATCAATCACGCACATCCCTAACGAATAGTCTATCATCTACTTCAAGAAACCATTCAAACAATAATATGAACTATCCAAGTTCAAACAACTTTTCAATAACAACCTTCTTTCTTGTCCATGTCCAGAAAGTATCTTTCCATGATCTCACCCAGAAACAAAATAGGATGTCTGCTATGATACCAATTGAAATTCTAGTATATCAGAATTCAGATGTCCTATGACATGTCGAGATATCTGAACTGAACAAAATACACAAGCAAGGTATAAAACATGCAGAAACAGTACTGAAAAGTAAACAACACACTATAATTGGTAACTCATTTTGGTGACAACAACACCTACTCTGGAGGCATACCAAGTCAGGGATAAAGTCCACTATAATAGTATCAATTCGAAGCTAAACTCCCCTGTTTACAACTTCTTACTTAATCACTACACGTGCTAACTTTCTACCTAAGACTTATCTAGGTATGAGGCCCTCCTCAACTCCTCATCAATTGAAATTCTAGTATATCAGAATTCATATAACCCATGACATGTCGAGATATCTGAACTGAACAAAATACACAAGCAAGGTATAAAACATGCAGAAACAGTACTGAAAAGTAAACAACACACTATAATTGTTAACCCATTTTGGTGACAACAACACCTACTCTGGAGGCATACCAAGTCAGGGATAAAGTCCACTATAATAGTATCGATTCGAAGCTAAACTTCACTGTTTATAACTTCTTACTTAATCACTACCTGTGCTAACTTTCTACCTAAGACTTATCTAGGTATGAGACCCTCCTCAACTCCTCATCAATCACAGACAACGATTGGACAATAACAGGAATACACACTTTCACGACGCAAAATCAGAAGACACACTTCCATGAGAATACCTAGCCAATACTCTTGACTAAGAATAACACTTAGAGTTGCTTACAAGCTTTCTCCAAGAACAATACTCACTCTTGCTTCACAGCTTCGAGAAGAACACATATCAAATCTCCTAGAGAATGACTTACACACCCAACCCTAATAACTACATTTTTTCATTCACGGCTAGTTCATTTTTCTAAGTTACAATGCTTCTATTTATAACCTTCATTCCAACTGAATTTGAGCTTTAAATCACAATACATCGACTGTTACAAATCTGCAGAAGATTCTGCAACAAAATAGGTCTTCAATCATATTCTTTCTATTTTATTTCCATAATTAGAAAGCGAATATTCTTTTTGATTCATCTGTTAAATCTTGAACTGATCCAACTGTCCAGCCTAGCGCAAACACGATATCAAATGACCCTGCATATGACATCTTATCCGACATGTTGCTCCAGATGATGAGGATTCCTCATCTCAACATGTCTCAACATAAAATATGACTTCATAGCAAATAATCACATCTTATTTAACATATCGCTGCTATATTTATTTTACTAAAATTAATGTCAATCCTAAAAATAGAGAATTAACATTAATTTAAAAAAAAACATCAAAATTTTAAAATGACTTAAAGAAGAAGTATTTTTTATTATTGAAAAAAAAATTATTATTACGTGATAATATTTTCAATATTATTTAATCATTATCATATTTTAAATTACAAACTAAATAATAATCAAAATTTTATATTGTGTATCTTGTATTATTGTAAGTACACAATGCTACAATTTAATTATAAAAATGATAATAATTGACAACATTATGAATCACGTTTTTATAATTAGTCATCATACATTAATAAAAATAAATATTAATTAGATTCGATTAATTTCAATTTTTAATAAATCTAAAATAATTATATGAGTCCGATCAAATCAATCATGTACTATTTCTATTAAATAACCAAATTAACCCAACACTTAATCCAATCAAACCCATTTGTACAAAAAGATCATGGATCAATCAATTTCATTCGACGGATGAAATTTATCCACTAATAATGTGTTTCCGGTGCATATCCTTCATTTTTTTTAAGCAGTAAAGTAAAACAAACATCCCTAAGTCATGCAGATTCCCTGCGGTTGGAAACATTTACGAAAGCAATAGGAACCGTTGGATCTTAATCATAGAGATGATTTTGATCAAACCTACAGATTATGCCACCGTACGTGACTGCGAATGCATTCCAAAACGACGCGACGCGTCATTGAGTTAGAGTGACTCATTTACACTCTTCAGTTTCTTTACTCAATTTACCCTATTCTCATTTCACATTCTTCCAAATTTCAAACTCGCAGAGCAATTCACGAAATCATGTTGCAACCGACAAGCATCGGCAGCAACCAGGTCAGCTTCTCTCTGCATATTTCTCTATTCCCGCGTCTCGCTTCATTTTCACATTACCAATATTTCAGCTTCAATCGCTTGATTTACTGTCGTTTTTTATTGATGAACTTTTTCGGTTCCAAACCTCAATGCTTTCAATAGGATGAATTTGTTCGGAAAGAGCGATTTTAATTACTCTGTATATAGATGTTCTCCGATTTTAACTTCTATGTGATTTTGCATGTTAGAGGTGCCTCTTTTATGATCCAAATTTGGTTTCAACTGTTATTGATTACACTAGGTTAAGAAGCTGCAATTTGTTTGGAAATAGCAATTTTAACTACTCTGCTGTAACTTACTTTAAGGTGTATAGATGCTTTTCGCATTTTGTAATAGATTCATATAACCTAAATTTTTTCCACTCGCGTTGTAGTAGTTACTATGTGATTTTACATGTTAGATGGCTCTTTTATGATAGAAATGTGTTATTGATTATGCTCGGCTAAGAAACAACAAAGAAAAATTATGAAATTATAAATTGGAGAAATTTGTTTGGAAAGTCTATAGATTTTCTTTGCGTTAGGTCATAAATTCAAGATAGTAGCTAAATTCCCATCATATAACCTACATTTATTCCGCTCGCATTGTAGTTACTATGTGATTTTGCATGTTAGAGATGGCTCTTTTATGAAACAAATTTGGTTTCTAGTGTTATTGTTGATTATGCTCGGTTAAGAAATTGCAAAGGAAAATTATGCTCCCTAAAATGCATTTATGGATTTAATGTTATAATTTGATGGCTTTTCTCAACACTTTCCCATGTTTTTTCCGGTGAACCTAGATCTCTGGTCAAGAAGTTAGAGACTAACTCCTTTCTATGCTAACCTTGTGCTTATGGAAGTTTGTTTCCCCCTTTTATCTGTGAAATTCTACCTGATTTTCCCCTTTTATCTATGAAATTCTACCTGATTTTCGTGATCATTTTACTTTAACGGAAGCGCTTAAGTATTATTATAAAAATAAGTGGCGAAATGAAATCTAAAGTGAACAGGAGATTCGCACACATAAGCAGCACGAGTCTATTGGTTAAACTTCCCAATATCTCTTTAATTAAAGACTGGATGATTGATCATTCATTTGGGGATGGACAGACTTTTTTGGGAAATCTACCTGTTGAAGTTGTACTTAGTAATTAACTAATTATTTTTCCTGTGTGCAAGCATTATCTGTAGATATTATGTGTGTGAAATGAAAAAGTTCCTCTTGTGCAGCATTTGGTTCATACCATGCCAGTGTCTCTCCAAGGGAACTCAGCATCAGTTCCAGTGGATCTGAGTGAAAGCTCCATGGACACAAACGACAATGTGCAAAATGGAGAATTTATAAAAGCAGAAAATATCATCAGGCACTCCCAGGTTGCTTATAATTTATATTGTTTTTATAAACAGAAAAGGTTGCTTCTCTGTATGCATGTGTATAATATAGTATATAGACATACTGATTTAAGTTTCTGGATTTCAAATGCGTGATGATGATTTTTAGAATATTAACTTACACCTAAGTAATATTTTTAGAAACTACAAGGGGATCTGCAGTCTTTTGGGATGAAAATTAAGCAGCATGAGGACAGGCTGATTTTTTTGAACACGGAAAAAGCCAAACTAGACGACTCCATCATTCATTTGCAAGGTAAATTTGTTTGTACTTATTTTGGCAACTGGATAAGTAGCTGCTTTTCATGAAAAATATTGACGAGCTAGTTCTGTAAAGTGCATTCACCAAATCTATGGTCTAAGCTTTCCTTATTATGAAGGTTGCTAGAGATTTATCGGTTTATTTATACAGTAATATTTTGATTATAAAGTTTATGTGTTCCTGAAACTTGAGATCATCCCCAATAGCAAGAGATATGGAAAATTCTTAGAACAGTAGGCCAATTAGCTTTGGAGGCTGATTGGCCGACCCCAAATTCTAGGATGGGGCATTGTTAATATGTTTCGGGAATTACATAGACTGAACATTGTAGCGCATATCTCAAGTTTTTTTATTATTTAACTATTAAGGATAAGGATGCAATAAACTTCAAATTGTCACCCTTCATTTTTTTTAAATGAAATTTCCTTTTGTAAAATATTTCTGTATAGCTCTCTAACTATCTATCAACAAAAAGGTGTCTTATGTTTTTCCTTATCCATAGGTGCCATTGGGAAATCAAAGTCTTCAAGCACTAACGGAGAGGATACCCGCAGTACAACTGAGGAGGAGGTACATAAACAGATATTGCAGCATGAAAAATCTGCTGCTGGTGTTTTGTACCAAATGAAGACTCGTCATGGAGCGCATGCTTCTCTTCTTACACTAACAAAGGATGTTTTAGGTATTGTTCCTATGCTGGGAAGAGTTGAGGATGACAATCTCAGCAGGTACATTTTGTATGAATGTTTTCTTTTTTTTGCTTGTGAAATCATGCGCACTCGTTTCAATCTTGTAATAGCTTTATGTTTCTTTGGTCTATGTCACATTATCTTTAAGCAAGATGAAAAATAATTTATTTTTTGATTTGTTAATATCTATGAATTGTAAGCATACATGAGGATAGTTTTCACTCAACTTATTTGGAATGCAGACTTTTCTCAGAGTATCTTGGAGTGGAGACCATGTTGGCAATTGTTTGTAAAACTTATGAAGGAGTTAAAGCTATTGAAATGTATGACAAGGAAGGCTGCATAAATAAAAGTAGCGGTCTTCATGGGCTAGGTGCAACTATTGGAAGGGCTTTGGACGGTCGTTTTTTAGTCATATGTCTTGAATATCTAAGGTACAATTATAAGAGGCTGGTTTGTCTTTTATTTGCGGTTGTGGATAAATCTGTGTTCTAAACCTTTTTTTCTTTTGTTTTAGGCCTTATGCTGGTAAATACGTGGTTGATGATCCAGACAGGAAGTTGGACATTTTAAACCCAAGATTGCCCAATGGGGAGTGTCCGGCTGGATTTCTTGGGTTTGCTGTGAATATGATTAATATAGACACCGAGAACCTGTTTTGTGTAACTCCGAGTGGTTTTGGCCTCAGAGAAACTCTGTTTTATAATCTCTTTTCTCGTTTGCAAGTATATAAGACCAGGGCTGAAATGATACAAGCACTTCCTTGCATAACTGACGGAGCTCTTTCTTTAGATGGAGGAATGATTAGGAGTTGTGGTGTATATTCCTTGGGTAACAGGTAAGAATACGAAAAAACGATTTATTTATAAATTATAACTTTACCCATATTTTGTATCTTTTGAAAATTAATATAGGCTAAAAACTTTGCCCATCTTGGAACTCAAATTAACTTGTGTTTCCTTTTTACAAGAGAGAGGGAATATATTAATGGGAGAATCTTGAAACTATATATCCTGTAGAAATCTTTTCATTTATCTGAAGAGGTGGAATATATTAATGGGTGAATCTTTTTTGAATCTATATTATCCCTTTTACAATTAAACCATAGCAGGTGGTTTTGCTAGGTTAACTGCACTTATCCTGTAGAAATCCTTTTAAAAATTTAAGCGTCATTTTAGAAACATCAAACTGCTGCGTGTTTTAATTTGTTTCCAGAAGAGTACAATCATCAAATATGTGAACTGAAAAAAACCAACTGTTGGGGCCTGCAGGGAAGATGTTAGTGTAAGATTCCCCAGACCAGAAAGATCAGCAGGGCTTGATGAGCAGGTTGAAATTGAGAGGCAAATGAAGGACGCCCAGTGGAAGAAAGAAAATATTTTGGACGATATAAAAAGGGAAATGACATTGTTGGACATAGCAAAGCACAATTTCAACAAAAAGAAGAGTGATTTTCTTAAGTATTTGGCTTCAAGTTCATCATATGCAATCCAGGTAATCTTTCTGGATATTTGAATTTAAATACTAGTTGATTTATAAATTATTGAGTGTAGTTTGGTAATTTATTATTTATATGTTGTTTCAACCTTATCTAAGTTGTTTTGATTATGTTACAACATTTTAAATGACTTCTTTAGAGGATCTTTCCCCTAAGCTTACTTCAGACTGTGATACAATGGCACTATATATAGCATTGCTAAATAATTGTTTAAAGCTTCCCGCTTTCCAGTAAATCTTGAAATGTAATCTAATTCACGATGCTAATATTTTCTTTCATCTAATGACACCACCAGGTTCAGAATGCGGTTCAGAGTGCTCCTTCGGTACCTCGATGATGAAGTTAAGATAGATGGGAAAGCTATGAAGGATATAGCTTGTGGCTAATTAAGTTCTGTTGCAAAGAAAAATAAGATTATACTTGAGGATACTGGGAAGATGTTTACCCAAAGGTACATGACAACTGTCTTTTGGGTTCCTATATTTTCTGCTAGATCAACATATTTCCCTGGGGAACGAGTAAATACTTCTGGCTACGAAAAAGGAAGATTGTGATAAGAAACGTTCAGTTTTTCGTGCTCTTGCTACGGTTAAGCGATTGTCTTCTATAATGTCCTGAAGTTCTTTGTAACGTTTTTTTTAGTAAGAGGAAACTCCGTCAGACTTTAGAAATAGTGAGGGTTCAAGGCCCTCTATCCCCAAAAGCCAATTAAATTCTCTCATTTTAATGGCTTTTTTTTAGTTGACATAGATTCAAGTAATTCCTTAAAATTAGGATAGTGCATAAAAATGGTCGGAATAGCTGATTTTTGATTGGTGCTGAGCGTGCTGAGCTAGCTATAGCGTAACGTCACTGAATATACTCGTGTCACTGGTTCATATCTGGAGATTTTTTATTGGTGCTGAGCGTGCTGTGCTAGCTATAGCAAGACGTCGTATTTCTTTGGTTAATAAAACACAAAAGGTTTATCGATTTCAGTTCTTATGGTATTCGACAGTTTTAAATTTTTATAATTTTAACTAATAATAACAACCCACACACGGCAAGATACATATACTTTTGTTATTTTCATAAGTAGTACCTTGTTAAACTTTTTTTTCGGGTTTTATTTTGTAGAACTAAAATTAACAGGGAATTTTAGTAAAAATAAAAACATTTCTCTTTTAAATAATTTTTGAATAAATAATTGTCAAATGGAAATAATTTTTTAAATATTTAAAATGGTTTTACTAATTTCTTTCCTTTAAGAGCTTCTCTAATGTGAGTGTGATATGCCTTTCATAAATATTACGTTGCTAAACTTTTTTTTCGGGTTTTATTTTGTAGAACTAAAATTAACAGGGAATTTTGGTGAGAATAAAAACATTTTTGTTTTAAATGATTTGTAAACAAATATTTGTCAAATGGAAATAATTTTTTAATTATTTAAAATGCTTTTACTAATTTATTTACTTTAAAAGCTTCTCTAATGTGAGTAAGATATGCCTTTAACAATAAAATGTATCACATGAGATTAAATCTAAATTGAAAGTTTAAATTGATGGACTAGTAGAGTAGAATAGAACCTAATGAGGAATAGAGTAGAATGAATTAAATATTCCATTCTATAGTTATGGTATTTTTGTTAATTTGATATAATAGAATATAATTAATTAATTAGTTCATTCTATACCTTTAAATTCGGCATAATGAAAATGAAGAATTTTATAGAATATGAGGAATGAATTTTATCATGTTTTATTATGCTAATCCTAATAATGGAATTTGATTGCTTATTACTTCATTCCATTCCAACATATACCATATTTTTGAATAGTTTGAGTTCAGTCAAAAATACAAGTAAAAAATAGTTCTCAAACGATTTTTGATTTAAACTGGGAAATTTTCACTTTTTAATATTAGGGGTTGCTCTTACCACTTTTAGTGGTGTAGAGTCACCATTTAAAAACTCAAAAAATTGTCTTTTGAAAATTCAAAAATATAATTTTGTACGTATTTATACATCACATTCCTTTAAGTGAGTCACATCTTTATTTTATTAGTCACATCTTTATTTTATTATAAATAAATATAGAGATGCATCTCTATAAAATTTATAAAAGTAGACTTTTATAATAATCTATAAGCAGTAAGGTTTGTTATTTTTAAAGAAATACACTTATGTAACAAGTATTATAATGATGTGAGAGGCTATTTATAATAAGTATATTATCACGATAAATCTGTTATCAAATAATACACTAATATAATAAGAATAAAATATCATATATTACAATCAATTTAGAATCTATAATACTATAAAAATGATAAATTATAGATTATAATGTTATCCAAAATCCAAATAATATAAATACAATAAAATGTCATTGGATATATATGATCTCATGTTTCTCCTTTGCTTCATGTACTATAATATCGTTTGTATCTTGGATAAAATGACATCTACAATAGCCATTCCATGACTTCCTTCTAGAAAGTTTTCTCTCTCTATACCCGTTCGCTCAGTGTCCATAATACAACGCTAAAATTCAGTCGAAAATAAGAGTCTCGTACTCCGCCTGATTATTGCTCGCGGTTAACTCAAAATTTAGCGTTCATTCGATGAGTATATCGTCAAGACCTTTCAGGATTATTATGGAGCCACTTCCTTCCACTTTGGAGGCGCCATTTATAGTTAGCGTCTATTCTGTGGGGGCGTTTCCTCCTCTATATGCGAGCTAAATTTCACACGAAGTCTGCCAAAGCCTGTGACTTGATGCTCCCCCTTATGACATATTGAATGTCATATTTTGAGAGATCTACCACCCAAGATACCATCATGCTGGCCAAATCTGGGTTTTTTAAGACTTGTCGAACATGATAATTGATCTTCACTAAGATGTTGTGACCCTAAAAGTAAGACCCCAGCTTCCTCATCGTGACGATTGATAAGTGCCAAATTGTGTAGAATTTATGCATAAGAATGTGGCACTTATTAGCTTGATTCATCGCGTTTACAAGTCAAAACCTCAAGTTTGATGTAAATATTGTTTAGTTTGATCTTTTGCACTTCATTTTGTAGGTTTGTGTGCATTAAAGCTCCTCCAAAAGGCAAATAATTGACTTCAATTACATTTTGGAGAAAATGCTGTAGGTTAGGCTAAGGCCTAAAATTATGTGCTTAGCCCATCTGACTGCACTTAGCGCCCTTGTAGCGTGCTTAGAGATGCTGATGGCAGAGGATTTTGTGCTTAGCGCCATATTTTGTGCTTAGCACGGTATGCTATTTTTTTTTGTTTTTCAATAAATAGATTTCAGTTGTCATTTTGTGTCATAGACCCTAAAAACTCATCCAAGAGATCCAGAACACCAAGAATACATTTTGGAGAGCCAGAGGCTTAGAAAATAACATGAGAGGTGTATCTTGAAGACCAGGAGCTAGGTTTGCGGCAATCATTGGGAAATCGTGATTAAGGATTGTTCATCTTTTTTCTTCTCTTTGTATTTGGCTATGATGAGTGTCTAAATCTCTTTCTCGTTGGGATTAAATGTAAGTCTACTATTTTAGTATGTATTTAATTTAATTATGGTGTTGCATACAATCTATTTATGAATATATGTCGATGTTATCTTTGTTTTACTTTTTATCTTAATGGGTTTGAATTATTATTGAGAAATATGGTTTGAAACTTGAACAAAGATGAACATTTGTTAGTTTCTAAACTTTAGACATAAATTTAGGCTAACAATCACATAGAGTATCAAATGTTAATGCTCCTTGTTGTTTAATTGACTGAGAGATCGATAATTTAACAATAAGGTAAGAATCGTTTAATAGGCTGAGAGACCGTTGATTAAAAGGTTCAAATCTCATTAGATGTTTAGACATAAATGTTGTTGTGAGCGATACATGAAGAGATTGATGAATGTTTAGATTATGTACAATTGATTGATAAAAATTACATATTATATCGGTGAATAAAATCCAATCTTGATAAGTTCTCTTCTCTCTGAAACTTTACTTTTCATTCGCTCGTTTTACCTTAAACTTCCAAACACTTTGTAAACTTAAGTTTAAAATTATAGTGACTCTTGAATGACATTGATATCGCACTAATCTATGTGGAGATGATAAAATAAATACTTACATTTTTTATTGCTACTATACCGCAATATCAAAATGGAACAGCTGTCGGAGATTGGTATTTAGATATTAAAAGCACCACAATAGTTTCTATCTTTTTAAACTTTGTACATTTGTCTATATTGTATATATACTTGTTTTCTATTATGTTTGTTCAAGTTTTTGGTTAGGATGCTTGTTTTCTATTTACATTTTAAAGAGAAACTACGACAAATTAATTGGTTTTTGATCCAGAAATCAAAGAAACTGCCCGGGGAAATAATAACAAAACCAAAAAGAGAAAGTTACTAGCCAATCTAAATAAAGGCTTCAAGCTAACGATGTAAAACAAGCGCTTTTTGGGAGACAACCCAACTTTTTAAGTTTTTAACAACTTTGCATTTAAGTAGTATAGGCAGTGTTGGTGAAAGTGGATGAAAAACATGGAATTTTGATGCATTTTTGAGTTTCAAGACAAACTTGTTCTCGCCGTGCGTAATTTGATAGTGCTAAGCGCGCCTTGAAACTATGCTAGGTGGCACTAAACGCGTCCTGCTGAGTTAGTGGAAATTCTTTTCACTCGAACCGCTTACCCAGTTTCACTTAGGCCCATTTAGAGTAGTAAATAGTAGTAGTTAATTTCTAATATTGTCATTTTTGTTGTTGTCTTCACATATTGGTCTAATATCTTGAAGAAGCATTTGATGATTCCAAGTTTGATTGATCAACATGCAAATGTGTGGTAATGATAATGTTTGAAGTGGGTATATTGTCAAGGTACATGTTTAATACTTTCTATAACATAGCATGGTTATGAAACTTGTAATTTGTATAAATTTCATGTCATTCATTCTTTTGCACTATTTGTTCATAGTTGAATCATTTTAGAACAAGCACAAACGTGAGGAGTTTTTTCTTTTTTACTATATACACAGGAGACCGACAATCCTTGTTTTAACTCTATTTTATTATGTTTAATCTTTCATTTATGTTGATTTGTATGAAATCATGAAAATGATAAAGGAATTTTTTAATTTGAGCATAACCATCTAACCAAAAGTAACTTACCTTGTGAGTGAGCGATAATCTGTTACCCCTTTTGAGCCTTAGTGTCAAGATCCATATTGGTGTTGAACTATGAACTAGTGCACGAGTTAGTAGTTCATCATGGATTCTGATTTTGTTTTTAAAGCACTTGAACTACCAACCATATATTGTGGTTGAAATTTTTTCTT